TTTTTTTTTTTTTTTTTAGTTTTCATTTCTAACGGGTCAGATCCGGCCCGCGGGCCGTAGTTTGCCCACGGCTGAACTAGACCAACTGAAGAGTATGTGCAGATGATCAATAAACATTTTTTAAATGCTCAATCTTAGTAGTCAGTGAATACAGAGTAATAATATTGACTAGTTTTCACTTTAAAAAATAATTCACAAAAATTTTAAATATTGATCATACACAGTGTTGGAAAGTTTGTGGAAATGTGAGCATTCTCATGCATGGTCTGTGGGAGTGTGACTTACTATGAGCTTTGAGCATGTGATCTGTATTAAGATATAAAATGCACACCATGCTTGGGCCCAACAATCTCACACAAACCATAGATAATTGTATACTGGTGCCCAAATGCCACCTGTCAAAGAAAAGCATTGCTTAGCATTTAATATCTAATCTAGACCTATCTAAGCATAGATCACATATATCTGGAACATAAAAAGAATTAGATTATACTCATTCTTCTTTAACATCTCTTACAGACTTCTGTATACTTAAATAATGCTTTTGTACATTTAAATAAAGTAATATTTAAAAATCTAACTGTGATCCTACACATCTCCACTTCTCCCTTCTCTCTGAGCCCATTTCTTAGACCTGGTTTAAACTTTTGATTTAGCACTCTCAAAATGTGACTAAAAACATATGTTTCATTATTTTTTTTAACTCTTTTTGGTTTTGGAAATATGTTTGTGAGATTTTTTAAAAATTGATTTCAGAGAGGAAGGGAAAGGTAGAGAGAGAGAGAAACATCAATGATGAGAGAGAATCATCGATCAGCTGCCTTCTGCATGCCCCACACTGGGGATTGAGCCTGCAACTCGGGCATGAGACCTGACCTGGGATCAAACTGTGACCTCCTGGTTCATAGGTTGACACTCAACCACTGAGCCATGCTGGCCTGGCTTGTGAGCATTTTGACAAAAGGTGATGCTTATCGCTCTGGCGGATTCAGGATTTTGCTCCTCCCAAAGTAAAGGGACCACCATTATGCCGTGTGCTCATTGTTGCCCCCGAGGCAGTCCTCCCATTGCTCTACTGACCATATTGCCAGAGGAAAATACATGTTTACACACAGGTTTACAAATATACTGTCCTCATAAAAAAAAAAAAAGCCTCCTTTCACCCAGCCAGTATGGCTCAGCTATTGAGCATCGACCCAGGAACCAGGAGGTCACTAGTTCAGTTCTGGGGCAGGGCACATGCCCGGGTTGTGGGCTTGATCCCCAGTATGGGGCGTGCAGGAGGCAGCTGATCAATGATTCTCTCTCATTATTGATGTTTCTGTCTCTCTCTCCCTCTCCCTTCCTCTCTGAAATCAATAAAAATATTAAATAAATATATGTCAGATCATTATGTTCTACACCTAAAATGAACACAATATTATATGTCTAAAAAAAAGAAAAACCCCCACTCTCACATATTTCAAATAAACACTCCCTCTCCCCACAGAGGGTAATAGTACTCTCAACCAAGAAGCCCTGAAAGCTGGACCCAGGGAGGTGGGGGGGGGGTGTTAGAGAGGAGGAAGGAGAGGTGGACAGTGACCCAGTCCTTGAGCCCAGATAAGAAGTCTGGATTTTATTTTAAGCATAACAGGCAGCCACTGAAGTGATGTGATCTGATAAATGTTTTAAAAAGATCACTCTGGCAGTTCCTTACAGACTGTGGGAGGAGTGAGCCAAGTTAGGATGCTGTTGGCAGTAGTTCCAGAATTAGATGATGGTGGCTTGGACTGGGGAGAATCTAATAGAAGTGACAAATGATCTGATGCAGGATATACTGTAGTATGTTGAAGGATTTGCTAATTAATTGAATTTAAGAGTAAATGAAAGGGAGAAATCAGGATGGCTCCTAGCTACGAAGAATATAAAGAAATCTTATGCTAAGGAGGTAAGAAAAAGGAGGAATAAAATATAATATTTCACAGTTAAATTTAGGAGATTAAATATTCCTATTTATTTGAACTTAATTCTATGGATCCCAAATTTGATGTTTTGTTTAGAGGGAATTTAAAAATGTGTCTGCCAAAAGCATTTAATATTTGGAAAGGATTCATGACTTTGACAGAAAAACAAGCATCATCCTATAGTTATGCTCTATGATGTAATTTACTGGACTTAAATTGGCTACATTTCATGATACACATTGAGGTTATAGCCATATTTCTTAGTTTCCTATTACAAAGCTAAAATGTAAAGTCATTTTTTGTCTTATAAAATCAAATAAACTAATCATATATACTCTTAATATTCTTGGAAGCCAACCCCATCCAGTTACTAAAATGGATGTCAGTTAAAACATTTTTTTAAATTGAATTCATTGGGGTGCCATCCTATATAATAAGACAGGAATATGCTAATTAGCCATTATGCTCTGAGGCGTAATGACCCAGAGCATCATGACCAGATCACGGATCAGCAGGAGGATGGGCCAGTGAGGTACAAGTGGGCTGCGAAGAGCTAGAGGAGGGGGCAGGGCAGCAAGCTATGAGAGGGGAGAGGGGGGAGGGAGGAGCTACAGGAGGGCGGGGCAGCGGGCGGAGAGCTACAAGAGGGCGGCAGTGACCTACTGGCACACAGATTTGTGCGCAGGGCTACTAGTTGGTTAATAAAATTATATAGCTTTCAAGTGTACAATTCTAAAATACATCACTGTATATTGTATTCTGTGTTCACCACCTCAAGTCAAGTCTTCCATCACCATGTATCCCCTTTTACCCTCTTCTACCTGCCCCTACCCCCTTCCCCTTTGGTAAGCACCACCCTGTTGTCTATGCTTATGATTTATTTTATCTTATTTTATCTTTGGCTTAATCCCTTCACCTTTTTCACCCAGTCCCCAAACTCTTCTCCCCTCTGGCAACCATCAGTCTGTTCTCTGTATCTATGAGTCTGTTTCTATGTGTTATTTTATTTTGTTTATTAGATTCCACATATAATCAAAGCATATGGTCTGTGTCTTTCTCTGATTGGCTTATTTCATTTAGCATAATAATACTTTCATCCATCCACGCTGTCACAAAAGGTAAGATTTCCTTCTTTTTTTAAGGCTGAGTAGTATTCCATTGTGTAAATGTACCACAGCTTTTTATCTACTCATCTCCTGATGGGCAGTTGGGCTGCTCTCAAATCTTGGCTATTGTAACAATACTGGAATGAACATAGGGGTGCATATATTCTTTTGAAATACTGCTTTTGGTTTCTTTGGATATGTTCCCAGAAGTGGAATTGCTGGGTTGTAAGGCAGTTTCATTTTTAATTTAAAAAAAAGTACATTTTATTGATTTTTTACAGAGAGGAAGGGAGAGGGATAGAGT